CCTTCGCGCACAACAATAAACCCCATCGCGCAACCTGGGGACTAGTGCGTGCCTGTTGGCGACCGGCGTACAATACGGTCACCATCGCGCATCCTTCCCTCCATGTGCATGTTATCGATCGTGTGCTTGCATCAGCACCTACAAACGTTGCATTTGCTGTTAGCACAATCATCACGTTCGCAACGCCTCGCCATTCTTCGTGTGGCTAGCACGAGCCTCGTGTTCATTGTCATCGTGTCCTTCCGCGTGTTTGTCGTGTTCGTCGAAAACAAATAAAATTTACAATTTCCGATCATGTGACCCATGCAAAGGTCTTACATGTTTGTTCTAAAAAGCAATAAATTATATGGCGTTCGGTTGTGCGTTTATATCTATTACAAACATTCACCAACCAAAAAACGATCATCGACATGTCCGAGGCTTTTAAAACCACACATGAATTTAGACAAGGAATCGAGCCATAATAGGTGGTACCAGAATCCTGTAAAATCGAGTTTTGCAATTTTACACTACTATTGTCACACTCGTACATAAGTGTATGTTCTTAATTCGAACAACACAAAAATCTAATTAACCATGACTCTATACCAATTATTGGGTTCGGTGAAGAATGTCAATTATTGTGCATGTTCGAAATCTACAAAATAAATCCTAAGTGCACCGGATCTAGAGTTTGGATCATTGTACCGTTTAAATTGCCAAATCTGACACGACTTACACAGTCTAAGGGACCGGACAAACGGGCACTAAGTGACCTTAAAGTCTTTTGATGTATTCCAACACTAGTTCCAAACATCTTTGTGGGCGACGACTATAGAACTTGCTCCCATAATCTCAGTCAAAACACCATCTTTTGCTCTCTTTCCTAAAATATTTCAAATCCCTCTCCTCTCTCCTACACGTTTGGGTGTAAAAACTGAGAAGAGTAAAAATTATCTTATATTCTATGAGTTTGTCTCAAGAAGTGTTAAATAAGGCCTCATAAAAATGATTAAGTGACTTATTAGGTTCTGATCTATCTACACTTAACTAATATGAATTATTTTTTATTTCACCAGATAAATATTATTTAACTTCATATTTAACCAATTTACATATGATCTGGCTCCAAGTTTATCTACTCGATTTATCTCGTCATGTTTAAGATCTAATGTTCGTTAGTTGATTCAACTATTGATAATATGATTAATTAACTTCTTATTTCAGAAATTAGTTCCACTCAATTTTTTAATTATGCAAGATTCAAGAACATAATCACCCACAAAATTTAACATAACGAATGTCTTAATTTCATTTCGGGATGTCATCAACCGCACGGACATAATGATTGTAAATAATCTCGATAGAATTTGATTCATTTCATATTACTACCTAACCACCGATCCAACATTTGAATCTCGTTTTTGGTAAATCAAAATAATATATATTAAATGCACACGACCATTCATTATCTTATATTTCAAGAGTGTGAGCAATAACTGAAGTCTAGATATTTTTTTGATCAATAAAAAAGATCTTACCAAGCGAGATTCGTTCAATATCAATATGTACAAGTGTAATTCATTAGCCAAAACAAATTAATTCAAAATTACACTATAACATTTCACGATAGCTTGTTCAATTTTATCTAGGTTGTAAACAATACTTTATATTTTACAAGGAACTGACACTGCGATCGAGCTATATTATCTACAACGTAAAATAATAGAACGAACACTTATGACTAAACGTGATTCTATTTAAAAAAGGGCAATGCTACATGTACAATTGTAGTTTAAAACATTGGCTGACAACTTAGTTAAAAGTATCATTAACTCAAATCTTAATCATACATTTAATTGCAAGTCAACCACCAACATTATGTCATATAATGTTGTCATTGAATGTTTAAAAAAAAAAAAAATTGTACAAGTAGCTTTTTCCTTAAAAAAAACTCTTGGAATACGTACTCTTGGAATACGTTTGTAAACAAAGACGAACTTTTAGGAATTAGTATACAAACTAACAGTTCCTTTGAAATAACAATAGTGTTCCTACTTTCTCTCGTGACTCGAACCCATGACCTGTTGGTCATACGTGAAGCCTCTTACCACTCAAGCCGCTCTTCGTTGTCATATACAAACTAACTGTTAGCCGTATCTATGTAATGTAAAAGAAATACCTATTTTAGTAGTACATATTTAACACACATACCAAAAATAAAGAAATAAAAAAAAAATAAAAAAATAAAAAACAGAAAAAGAAGAAAAAATATAAACAAGCACACACTAAAGGGTCGTTTACTTTGTGTGATGGGATTAGACAAATGAATCAAAGATACTTTACACGTCAACAATTTCTCCCACGTTTACTTTGTATGATGGGATTGTCTGAAAAAAGTGGGGCCCGCAAATATGTAAAGGAATATTGGGATAAAAAAAATCCCGGGTGGGGTGGGGGGCAGGACGATTAATTAATTGTCCAATATTTGATAAGCAGTGGGGCCCGTAGTCCACATGTGCACCAAGTGGGATCAATCCCATCCCAATCCAGGAAAGTAAACAATGTACAAGGAGGGGTGACAGTTTTCATTATCTAGTCCCATCCCGCAAAGCAAACGACGCCTAAAAGAACTCGACTGATAGTAGATTTAAATCCCCCTCCTTCTCTCCAACAGCTTGCCACTGCTATTGCCACCACAATCCATACTGAAAACTTAGAATCGATAGATACAGAGGATTGTCTGTTGCCGCCTCCTCCGACTCGACTCCATCTCCTCTGAGAAGGGAGGGAGGATGAATGGTGCTTAGAGAAGGGAGCCGCCATTAAAGTTTCTCTCTATTTCTTAAGTTGCAACTCCTTATGTCTTCTCCTGTAAATAAACATATGTCCAAATCTAACGAATAAAAAGACCATTAAAAAGGTTGCTCCATAGACATTAAACAGATTGCTTTCTGTTCTTGGATTTCACTAGTCACTCATGGACACCTTCACAGTTCTTATTTATTTTCCTCACGGCTCCTTGGAGAAAGAAATTAGATAACATGAATATTATATATGTAAAAATAAACTAGATAACAATGCAAACATTCGTGATTTATATTTCTATAAAGATGTTATTTTTCCTGATGGTGTATGTATTTTGCTTTCCAATTTTTGATGTTTTCTAAAGAAACAAGTTTACCTGGTAGTAAATGTTTCAAGTAGATCTCCCGATTCATCTTGGACCACTTGCCCATATTGTTTCAAGCCTCCCAACATATGATCCTATAGAATCAAGGTCTCTTCACTATATATACAAACAGAAACAGTTATATAATTCTACAAAATGTATTCGAATCAACAGCGTATTGCTTGATTGATTGAAACAGACAAAACATTCTTACCTGTAAAAAACATCGGTTCAGGGAAGAGCAAGTTAATGGCTCGAAGGACCGAGTTATATGCCCCGCAATTCAAAAATCGAAGAAGGATAAAAAATTACGAACAAGTCCAACTAGCTTGACTCAGCCTCAGTCTCTTTCTCGCCATTTTTTGTGCCTTAATATATCGATAAAGTCTAAAGCATCAGCCAACCTATTGTCCCAAGCTCGACTAGTATCCCGACCAACCAAACCTCTCTCCTCCAACTCCATCAAAATCCTTTCACCCACTACACGATTGTTTTCAGACAAAACAGCATGAACAAGAACCGAAAATGTGGTTGTATTAGGACACAAGCTCCTCTGTTTCATCTCCTCGTACATTTCAAATGCACGAGCAATATCACCGTCCCGACTCATGGCAGTTAAAAACACATTGTAAACAACAACATCAGGCTTAGCTCCACTCGTATCCATCAAATGCTTTAAATCGAGGGCCTCGTGCAGTCTACCTTTTCTGCAGAGCGCGTGAATTACAGTCGTGAAAGTTGGTATAGTTGGAATAGTTTGTCCTCTAATCATCCATTTAAGCAGAAATATTCCCTCCTCTAATTTCCCATTCTGCACAAGCCCTCTAATCATTGCATTTTGGGCCACGTGGCCCAAACCGACACCAAGTGTCGCCATATCGTCTTTTAGCTCAAACGCGTCTCGTATGTTTCCCGATTTACACATGCTCATTATCAAGCGGCTGTACAGTTTGCTGCGAGGAACAAAGCCGTTTTGGAGCATTTCGAGAAGAAGAAAGTATGATTCTTGAAAATGTGATGTCCTTTTGAGCCCATTGAAAATAGAAGAGAAAGTATGTTCGCCAGGCGAAATTTTCATGTACTTCATGATACTTAACAAATCAAAGACTTTCGACATGTCACCTCTCTGACTGTGCGTTGATATTAGCATGTCAAAAGTGGATTGATCTACAAGAGTTCCCTTCATGATCACCGTTTTCAAGAACTTACCGGCAATTTCCACCATGCCAGACTTACACAGCCCATGAACTAGAGAATGAGAGGTGAATTTATCCGGAACAAGGCCTTCTCTCAAGATGGTTTTGTACAATGCCAAGGAACTCGCAATGTCCTTCCGTGCTGACTGCCCGTGTAAGAGAATGTTATACGTAATCAAACTTGGGGATACATTTCGATTTTCCATCATTGTGAAGATTTCTTTCAGCTTATCGACTTTACCTAGTCTCGAGCACGCATAAATAACTGCATTAAAGGTAACTATGTCGGGATTCAGACCACACATCAACAAATCATCAAAGAAGTAAATTGCAGCTTGTGCTTGGCCAATCTTGACGAGCCCATTTATGATGCTGGAATACATAAACTCATTTGGAGAAATAATATTTCTTTGCAATCCACTTTGGAGTACAAGAATGGCTGTCGTAACCCTTTGATTTCTGCATAAACCAGAGATGAGACAACCGTATGTATAGCTATCAGGAAACAAACCAGCTTGAACCATCTGGTCTAAAAGATCGAGTGCTAACTTGAAATCACCATGTTTACATATCTCAGAAAAAATTGTCTTCAAAACGACTGTGTTCACAGCGTAAGGAGTGTTTTGAAGTTTATAAAACAATTCCAGTGCCTCCTTCAGATATCCTCCTTTGCACAGGCCTCTCAACAGACTCTCATACGAAAATAAATTAAGTTGAAAACCGAATTTAACCATTTCATCTATCAACTTGACTGCTTTCAACCCGTCTCCTGATTTTCCACATCCACCAATAATAGCATCGAAGGTAATAGAATTTGGAGTAAGACCAATTATATGGATGTGATGCAGAAAAACTTCTGCCTCAACCATGTTCCCATTTTTGCACAGTGTAGATATCAACATGTTACAAATGAAAAGGTCTGCAGAAAATCCACTACGAAGCATGACTGTGTAAATTCTGATTGCTTCATTTATATCTCCCTGTCTGCACAAATTGTAAATTAACGTAGAATATACAATTTTGTTCGGTTTGATACCGGATTTAAATAATTTACAGATGACTTCCTTTGTACATTGCATCTTTCCAGCTCTACAAAACCTATTCACAAGAACGGAATAAGTAACAATGTCAGGATTCACATTATCCTTGAACATTTCATCAGCCAACTTCATGGTTTCTACCAGCATACCATTTCTGCCTACTCCATCTATTAGCATAGTATACATCAAAGAATTGACATTAACATCATCTGTCTTTATTCTCGCAAGTAAACTATTCGCCCAATCTAACTTGTCGTGCTTGCATAGTCCATGTAAAAGAGTTCCGTAAGTAACCTCATTAGGCCTTAATCCCCTACATTCCATTTTATTCAAAAGTTCAAAAGCTTCCACAAAATTTCCTGAATGACAATGCCCATCAATCAGCACATTGTAAGTAATGCAATTTGGCAATATATTAACCTTAGACATTTCATCAAAAAGTTTCCCTGCAACTGCAATTTTCCCTTCTTTGACAAAACCACTTACCAGAGTATTATAGGTGACTACATTCGGAACTATCTTCCTCTCGTGCATCTTTTTCAAGAGTAAATACCCTTTCGAGCTTTGATTATTCTTGCATAAATCATCCACAAGCACATTATACGTAAACACATCAGCCTCAATACCCCTGCAGTTCATGCGATCCAACATCTGAATAGCTTCTTTATATCTGCCCTTCTTGCAATACCAATTGAGCACCGTGTTGTAAGTCACCACATTAGGAGCATAGCCGCTCTCCTCCATTTTCCTCAGCAAATAGCTTGCCTTTTTCAGTTTCCCATCCGCACAAAGCACGTTTAAAAGTATGTTAAATGTTGCAACATTGGGGCAAATGCCTTTTGCAAGAACTTCACCAAAGAACGACCACACGGGCTCAAATCTGCCCATCTTTGCAATAGCCGCCAGTATCATATTACAAGTATAAACCGAAGGCTTAAAAGCCCTAAAACCCATCGAACGAAAAGTCTCTGTAGCATCACTAGTGGCGCCATTTCTTACATAAACCCTGATTAACAGGTCAAAAACAGCAGGGTTTGAATTGCACAGAGGATATGTATCCATGAGGGCATTGAAAATAGAACTTGATCCCAAACCCATTTCACACAAATGGTACAATATCGATTTAGCGCAATCATACATTCGTGCTCTGACAAGAATATGGGTTGTGATACAGTACAAGTGAGTTATGTGATTAAGCTCCAAACCTGGCTGCTTCACAACCCATTTCAAGAATTTCAAAGCTAGCCTCCCATGAACTGGCCTCAATTTTGCTGTTTTATAGTTCATACAATTCAATGACTCCCAACGATCAATTGTCAGGATAGTATATACACTACTAGTCATATCTGCACCTGTTTACAAATAAATAAATAAAAGATGTAAAAACAACGAGCCCGTGTTCCAGTTTAATCTTGAAAAGCAATAATTTACTAATTAACAAAATAGAGGAATAAATACCGGTAGTTTGTGAGTGGGCTGTAGCCGCGATTCCCTCACTATTCCTGAGATTTTCTTGAGAATTTCTGGAGATATCAAAGCTCGGGTGGGCTCTGGGTTTTGATTTTTTTGGGGGGAAAAGATGGCACTTTCGAGATGATTTGGAACTCAAGCGCGAAGCCATGACTATATTTGCTTTGAATGTTGGTCGAGTAGCTTTATATTTTCACTCGGCGTTTATGAAGTTGGAGGTCGATGATAAAAGCTGGCGCCGCGAGTTTTTTATTTTTTATTTTTTGTACAAGGAACGTTCGTTCGTATCCGACGTATAAATATACTCTGTGCTCATTCGACGACCACCGGCCACCACTGCCGCGGAAGCATAACGGGGTACGAGGCACAATGTTCGGCGATCCCAAGCACAACCTGCAACGCAGGCGACGTATAAGGCTCAGCGACCAGTAGCACGGCGACTCGACGACCATTAGCGCATTGACTCGGCGACGAGCAACAGCGCGACTCGACTTCCAACGGCGATCCCAAGCGACAGCGTGATACCTCAAGCGTTGACCCGAAATGCAAGGCGGGAGGTCCGACGACTCGAACCAAGGCGGTGCACGCCAGGTATGAAGTAAGAAGACGCAACTCAGAACCGTTCGCCCAACCTCGTAAGTTGTGTAATCTGTACAGAGTCCGCAAAATTTTTAAACCGTATATCCTCCATCAGTCCATCCTAACTATAGATTCTGTTGCATTAGTATTTAATTTATAAGATACGGGTATGCACATCGATCAATGTTCTTAATAGAACCCAACATGATGACCGAGCTTGTTTTTGGATTCAACATCTCCCCCTCCTCCATCATCATCGATCTTCTATTCGTGGTATGATGGCAAGGGGGTCAATATGCAGACGTTGAGTACTGACTCTTCAAGAGTGGGGCGTTTCGTGCCTCTTGTGAGTTGTGATGTGATAGTGAGAATGACCAAAATGTTGATGTTGATATACTTCATTCTTGCTCATGACGATTCACATAGTTGGTATTAGAGCTGTCAAAACAGGCCAACGGGGCGGGCCAGCCCGTAGCCCGCTGATATAGAATATTATACTAGACCGGCTTTAATGGATAAGAAAGATTATATTGGAGAGAAGCCCACATATGGGCTAGGACATATAGCATAATGATATGGGTCAAACCCAACTTGGGCTCTAAAGGTACACTCTTTCTATAAAAGGGGCTAAGGTATCTCATTCTCTCATTATCTTTTTATTCATTACCACACACACACACACTCTCTCTCTCTCTCTCATTGGATCGAGTACTGACTTAGGCATCGGGGGCCCGATGCCGAGATCCCTCCCGGCGTTGGGTTTTTGCAAGTGCGGAGGCCGTTCGAGTTGAAGGAGTCCCCATGAAGTCTATTTCACTATTACCCGCCAAAGCCCGTCAGTTGGCGGGGCGGGGTGGGCCTACAAAATGCAGGCCCAACTCGCCTCCGCCTCGGGCCACGGGATAGACGGGCCAGGCCCGCCATTTTTTTTATTAAAAATTAGAAAAACATCTTAATTATAATAATTGTACTGCAATTCTTTACATCCATCTCGATTGTCTTCTACAAAATTGCCAAGAAAACTTAAATAAATCTGCTCA